ACTGCTAGAAACCAATTTCAAAAGTGGTACATTATTTATTTTCTTCCATCCATTTTATAGCCTTTTTTGAGGTATGGCACGCTGCACTATCTTTCTGAAGCACAAAATCTTGGCCGGATGTCAAACATTCTTCCATCACTGGTAAAAGCGATTCTTCTAAAATTACCAAATATTTGTTTGTATCCACATTTCCATCAATAAATGAAGTTTTCCTACTCCTATTGATGACATACTGCCCCAGACCATAATTGATGCTGGAAATTTCACTTTTCTCTTCAGACAGTCAACATGGAATGCTTCATTTTTTTGCGAATAACTCTACTGCGACTGTCACCAACACAAATTTCGAATCGGGTCTCATCACTCCATTGTATTGCACACCATTGTTGAGGTGTCCATTGTCTATGTTCTTTAGCCCTTCTAAGCCGATTTTTCTTTTGCAGTGGAGTTAATAGTGGCTTTTCTTTGGCCTAAAAACAAGTTGTGCAACTTTAGGGTTTTTACTTCACTTTTTTTATAAGAAAACTTACCTTGCAAGTGCTAAATCCCAGTTTGTGGGCCTCTCTATGAGTTGTGGACCTCGAAATTCTCCTTCCAACAGCGTCACTCCACAGAGCACTTAATTGTAAATAATTGGCACGCCTGTTTTTCACGATTATTCTTCTTAATGCTCTTCGGTCGGCATTTGTGATATTAGTTTTTTTTCACATATCGTGGCTTAATATTAACTGAACCAGTTACGTTAAATCTTCTAACAATATTTCTCACACTGTCCTGCGATAAGTCTAACAAAGTTGCAATTTCTGAGTTTGATTTCCCAGGATTAAAAAAATTAATTATCAGTAACCGAATTTTCTCACTAATAACCTTTCCTCTACCCATTTTGAAAACCTTTACTACCCAAAACTATTTTAAACGTATTCTGACAGCTGTGATTAATAAAACAATTGTCATGGCTTTTATTTTTCACAGCCACCTATGGGTTATAGACTTATTTTGCATTGAAATGAAAATAGGTAGATATGCTGGAATTGCAACATGTGTTATTTTTATGCTGCAAATTTGATTAGGGAGTGATAAAGTTGGTGTTTTCTACTATATATATTATCAAAATATTCATTGTTAATATTTTAAACCTGTAACACCCTGCTACATTTTTATTATTTGTTTGATAAGAAAAAAACTAAGATTTTAATAGTTGGGCCAACTGAAGTGGGAAGGGGCTCGTATTCGTTATAGGAATGATTAACTGATCCACTTTTATTCTGTAAAATAACATATAATAAGCATGTAAGTAAATGCATGACATTTAAAAAGTGGTGTCAAGTCTATTGACATGTACCTATTATTATTATGTTACTATGTTCGCCTTATCAAAAAATTTGATTCCAATATTTCATAGTTTTCAATATTTCCAAATGCATCACAAAATAGATGAACACAAAATAGTATTATTCTACAGTTACACTTGAAATATAAAATCAACATCCTGGACGTCATTATTAAACTCACCAAAAGCAAGACAAACTATACCTACTTGCTTATTAAAAACTTGTCACACACTTTAACGCTTTAAAAAAAATACAAAATATTTATGAAGCTGACAAGTTCATGTGTGCACAAATGTAGGTATTTTATAAAATATGTATTGTGTATAAATGTATTATATGAAATATAGTCTCGTTTGATTTATACCATTCTTGGCAGTCTACTTTGTATGCTATGAGCAATCAAAAGAATGTTTAATGAACTGTGAGCAATGTTGATGTTAAGGACGATCGGATAAAAAATATTACCGTTAGATTCGGGAGAGAGGCTGCGGGGATGCATCCACCTCCGTTCAGAGGGCCTGATAAACATCTCTTACCTTACGTCCGAAGAGGATGCAGACGAGAACATAACCTGTAGGTATCTTTTCCTGTTCTTATTTTCTACTTATTTTGTTGACATATTCCTCGAATTTTGAATTTCGTTGGTAAGCTTTCCTATATATAGTTTTGTCTCGTTCCATTAGTTGAAATCTTTGGGTTGCGCCCACCTTCAATATGCCCGAATGGGTGTTTGACGATTTTGATCTCTCCCTTATGTCAGTTACATAACCTATGCCTCCAGTACGCTCCGACACCGGGATCGTATCGGTATCTCTCGACGAGCACTCTCGCTCTGTTCTGTTAATTTCTTCAGTTAATTATCTGGGTACTATTTTAAATTCAAATCAAATTACTTCTCGATAACAGTGCGCCTTTGACAATTCCCTGTACAAGTATTTGAAAAAATAAGCTGGGCCATCTAGGATCATAAGTATCAACTATAGACATTAGTGTTCGGCGCAATCATCAGATGTCACTCAGAGCACACGTTGTATATGGCTTTTACACCCCCCTGTTGCATACTGTGGAAGCCCTCCCTTCCCGCTCTTGCACACATACATGAATTAGGGGATAGAGTACCGTTGTTTTCACTCACTTTCTGAAAAATACTCCTAATTCATACTATCTACATTATAGTTGTATCTTCAGTCGCAGTGTTTTATATCGAAGATCAACATGAATTAACACCAATCACACGCCCTTGACAAGCAAGTTATCATGCTGACAGTGTCAAGCATAAATGTGGAAGAAATACGTTGACGGAAAAATTTTCTTGGCGGTGAAACAAAACTAAAAACCGTATGTCTTTGAGTTGACACAATCGTCCGCGCATAGATGCTGATTGAATATGTGTATCTACACATGCACGAGGAAGACTTACATATGAAAGCAATTCCTGTTCCAGTTTGACTTTGGCCGGCCAAAAACCGTGAAAATACCTACATTTCTAGCCCCATTTCTAATCTTCAAACGGACTAGAGTCAGTCAGTGATGTAATTCCAAAACATCAATAATGGCTAAAAGTCCGCTGTCGCGTGACGAGGCTACTACAAATATGGCTATACGACGGAGTTCTAGCGGGCTATAAAATTACATAATAGCACTGTAGGAGCCTGTGACCTTGATTAAAGTCAATGGTCGGTATTTGCCTCAATGCCAAACTTCTATGAAAACCTATTGGTACAAAATTCAAGGAGATGTCGGGAATATCGTTTTAGGGTCGTATCCTCAGCCGTTACTACAATTGCAGGACGCCTTTATGATTTTCATAGTTTTCTACTGTTCCGTGTCAGCGTTCTATTTGGGGTTTTAATTTATATCATCTGTTATATAACATAACAGCTGCAGCCTGAAATTTCATGCATTTCAAAAAGAAAACATAACCTAATTGGAGAGCGCTAACGCTGACACAAAACAGTAGAAATCTAGGAATACCCCCAGCCTTTCTGCACTGCAGAAAATACTATGAAAATCAAGGCCATAAAGGCGTCCTATAATTGTAGGAACGACTGACGATACGGCCCTTAGATATTGGCCATGCTCTCGTTTGTTCTGTTTTGTATTGCATATTATCTTTTTTCATATATACATATATATATATATATATATATGTATATATATATATTTTGTATGAGTGTTATTTTTTTTGTGGGTTTAGTTGAAAAGCAGCTTAGGCTGAACTACGCCTTTCATCATTTTATCTTTAAATTTTTTTATCCTCAAGTTAGTTATAATGATGAATAAAGACCATTTATTATTATTATTATTATTATATTACATTGGCTTGAAGACACGATTCACAATATTATAAATTTATTTCCAAAGAACCATTTTATTATCATTTTTATACTATATTATAATATGATTAGTGTGGTGTTACCCTCAAAGATTACTTGTAAAGTTATAAAAAATACCAATATTTGATATATTGACCACCTATGAGATTACCTGCTGAGCGCTTTTCCATTTCATTCGCATCAGGTGTAACGTTCGAAGACGCGTCGTTAAAAATACAATAACTTTTCTTAAACAGTCAAACTAAACGGTAACTGAAGGACAATTTTTTCGCATTCAATAAATATTTTCAATTAGCATTAATTCAAAACTTTCTCAGACAACAATTAGATGCATACACGCTACCAACAACAATTTTACAAGAAGCAAAATTGAGATATACCATTCCCCACCACCCTGTCACCTCGCTCCGCCCATTATTTCACCCCTAATTTTTTTTAGAAATGATCAGAATTTTCTGAAACGTAAACAAAGTTTGAGCGATTTTTATTTATTTCGTTTTTTGTTTTTTCTCCGCCGCCACTGGACCAAATTTCAAAAACTACAAGGCTTTTGTAAAAATTCCATCCATATCTCACCAGTACTTTCAAAGTTATAGACGGGCCAAGGATTAGCGGACAGACAGACAGACCGATCGACAGGCAGGCTGAAAGTCAAACAGACCTACAGACAGACCGACGGAAATGAGTGACATCATTTTTCGTGGTGGCATAAGATCTCATTCTTGAAAGTTTTGGCGATTACAATACTTCCTTAAATGGATATATTTTGAGATGTGATCATGACGCGTGAACTCTTTCGTATGGTAGAACAGCTCTGTTGAACTACATGATGATAATTTATTTAGCTCTGTTGAACTACATGATGATAATTTATTTGCGATAGAAAAACGATTATAGAATCATTCAACATCTAACGGGTACTAAGAGAACTTAAAGAATGACAAATGTTTTTATAATCATGAAGGAAATGCGGATTTACCTAAAAAGACTATATTAGCGCTCATTTATGCGCGCGACATAGTCAGTCAACATACATATGTCAAGCATTGTGGAGTGAAGCTATCGCGTGACTCTAGTCGCGAGCGAAAATGAGCGCTAATTCTGGATTGTTTATGTTTTAAACCTTCCTTTGGGTTTATAGTTACCCAACAACGCTTTCCTATGACTAATTCTACAGAACCAGAAATTGCTAAGTTGTCGCAACGACTAAATCATTAGAAAAATTCAATATAGCAGGTAGTCAGATAAGAAAACTGCATGCGTCAGTATGCTCGAAATAATTTTGGCATATTGCCTATGATCCGCATTTAGATTTTTTCTAGAAAGTAATATCGCCATTCGTATATGAGGTATCGATCTTCATGATAGTTGGTAGTAAGTACATTAATGATAACAATTTTTGTTTCAGAAAAAGAATCCAGTCAGTAAATGGATTCGTTCTAAAAAAAAAGTTCGTTTATAGTAATCCCGCATTTTCAAATACCTGGTGCAAATTATTACACAAACGCATCGTCACGAGTTTCAAAGTCTTTAAAATGGAGCGAAATTTAAACGCTGAAGTACCTACTGGGATACCTTTTACAATAAAAATTATGGAAATATGAAAGTATGAATATTTTATTATCTTATTGGTAGTGGCTAGCATTTTTGGTGTTATCTAATTATTGAATATAAGAGAACGCAAAGAATCACACCCAAGTGTTTCTACAAACTGGAATTCTATGTTAAATCCGTCAAATACACTGCCACGCAAAATTAACCGGACAAACAAAATTTCGTTCGAATTAAATTTTAAATAACTTTCCAACCTTTGCATCAATTTTGTTAATTTTTTTGTCAAGTTGTAGGTAATTTTATTGTCATCATTATCGACTGTCGATCTTGCAAAAAAATTGAAAATGTTTGTTGTTATACAGGGTGTAACTAAAAGGTGCATTTTGCCCTAAATTTCTGAACACCCTGTGGAGACATTGGATTACTGAATAATGTGTCTTTGTATGAGAATTTTGAGCCTCAACTTTCCTCAACAGTTCTTTTTTTGATTCATGTCAATATCTCAATTATTTGAAGAAAATCATGCGAATTATAGCCATAAACAAGAAATTGTTTCAAGCAGGCTTTGCCGGGTAAGAAATTGTTTCAAGTAGGCTCTGTCTGTTAGCATTTTGATGGCATGTCAAAAAGATCCTTGTCAAGCAACACTAAAAAAAAAATGCACCGGAACAAGTAACGCAAGCTGTAGCTTTACAAGATGATGGTCGTCCTATTCGCTATATCGCAGAAAGGCTTGCCGTTCCACGCAGTACGGTATTCCATGTGATACAAAGATTTAGAGAAAGTGGTTCTTACTCAAGAAGACGGAAAGCAACAAACGCAGTTGAAGATCGGTTTCTGAGAGTTCAAGCTATTCGAGAAAGGAGAGTTCCTGCTACAACTTTGACTCGAAGATTGGATGATGTTCATGGTACCATAGTTTCACCTGATACCGTACGCCGAAGGTTGAGAGAAGGAAACCTATCATCTTGTGTACCTGCTACAGGTCCTCTATTGGGTGTAGGTCATCGAAGGCAGCGCTTGATATTTTCTAGAACTCATGCAGATTGGGATATGGACCACTGGAAAAACGCTATTTTTACAGACGAGTCTCGTTTTACGAGATATTCACCTGATGGTCGCCAAAAAGTGTGGAGAAGGCGTGGAGAACGCTATGCTCAAAGTTGTTTCGTTCCTAGAGTGCAATTTGGTGGTGAAGGAGTGATGGTCTGGGGCGGTATTTCTTTGGAATCTTGCACAGATCTTGTTTCGTTACGAGGAGGACACCTTACTGCCGACAGGTACATTAGAGAATGTTCGGAAAAACATGTGGTTCCTCATATGCCATTTATAGGAGAATATTTTCTCCTAATGCACGATAATGCTCGGCCGCATATAGCCAGAATGACTAGGCACGGGTATCATGTAAAAAACCTATAAAACGTCAAAAAAAACCTATCAGATGTCATCTCGCAAACTAGGTAGTTTTTAGGGCGCAAACAATCATTCCACGTTTGCTCACTAGGATCGTTGTGAACGTCCATCTAAGGAGGAATCACTCTACTAAACTATACGCATTATTGGTTGCATATGTTTTGCGAGGCCAAATGGTCCTTGTCTGTAGTTTTTATCTCTGAGAAGAAAGTTGGTTGAATAGCAAGATCGCATCTGGATGATTATGTGTATTGGTCTGCATGTGTATAAAATCAGTGATATTTGTTGTGTGAGAAAATCATTACTGAATATGCTGCCAATCAAGTATATCTATTGGCTGTGCCCGATGGTTTATTTTTATGTTGTGCTTTCTGAAGAGAGGTTATGTTAAAAGTTATAAATTACGAAAAACTGAGGAGGATTACGGGAAATCATCACCGCGCTCGCGTTGTGTGTAATTTCTGTTAGCATGTATATGGCTAGTAGTAGTGTACAGTGAATATAATTATTTATCTCTCTCATTTTTGAAATTCAGCAAAAAAGGTGGATGCACAACTAATTTCTAACTTTGAATCTCAATTAAGTGTATTTGAGACAAGAACCGAATGTAATTATCATCAACACATACAACTTATAGCTTAGACCTCCAGTAATGCAATCTCAGAAGCAGATTTTACACCACATCAGAGCCAAAGATGGATAACAAGCCTCATGACGTTTAGGCAACACGTACAACTAAGTGCTAAGTTAACATCTTGTAGAAAAACCTACGTAATGTCGCTCTTTGGAGTGTATTTACATACCGTTGAGAATCTTGTAAAAATACTTAACGAGTTATTTGGAAAAAACTAAAATTTGGACATCAGTTTTATTTTTTCTGACTTTGGTTTAAGGAGCATCAACAAACTTTGCCATTGGCACTTTTTAGGCACTACATGATTTTGTTTTTACATTTTGTGCCCGACGGTTCGTTTTTGAGATACCATCATCAGCTTAATTTTTTTATATGGTCCGAAAAAATAGCACCCTGTAATAGCATTTTTTATAAGAATTCAATGATATATCACATGTTACATTTATTTTCTTGGTTATAGGGCAAAACGCGTTCTTTCTGATTTTTTTTCAAGTAGGCGTTGCAAACAAATGCTTGACGTAAATACCTGTCACCGAGTATTGTTATTATTGTGTATTGTGAATATTGATATGATATACATATATGTTAATATTAAGAAATTCATATTATAAGTTTCAACAACTCACATGTTTCTTATTATTGAATTAAAAGATAGAATAAATAAATAGAACTACATGTATGTTCTATAATTCCATTAAAGTAACAACTTCGTTTTCGATATGTAAAACACCGAAACTTAACAGCAATTTTTAGTGTCAAGTGTTTGGCAGGAAACAAACAAATACACAACTAAACATGGAAAATAGTATAATAACAGGAAGCTAACAAAAACAACGCGGTTAAAAACATTTAAAATTCAATTCAGGCAGATTATGGTGTCAGAATAATAAAGCTTTTGCAGTGTCAGGAGTTATTCCGTTTCGTTTGGCATCGTAAATGTTATCGTCCCGCAAAACAAGTGTTTGCTGGGTACACTTGGCAGGTCCATATAACTGATGCTGTGACATCATTTGATTTATTTTCTCTTGGAATATATCAGGCATAATGGTCTAATGGAAATACCTGAAGATAAGCTATAAGAAGGAAATGCTTATTTCAATAAGCTAGTGGAATCAACGTCAGTAGTGAGATAAAAATGTTGGTTGTCTACTGCTATCATCTCGCCGATTATGTAATGAATTTCATTTCTCTTTCCGTCAAAAAAAAAATATGTCTTTGCTTAGAACATAACCTGCACGATCAAATTCATCAGCATTTTGATCGCAAATTCTGTCGAAATATGTCCAGATACATCGCTACTTTTTCTTATTGTTGACATTTTTGTGGAGTATTAAAATTCATATAACCAAAGCGTTTCAAGCATAGACGGATTTGCGGCTCATGTAGTTTACCCAAGGTTAACGAACCGAAATAGAACTGATTGTACGCTGAAACAGATGATAGGCCGATATATTGACCTCTGACACATCGGTAAAATCCTATAACCATCGATCTTTAATTTTCTATTCGATATTTTTCTCAATTACACCCAACATGTGATTCAGTAAGTTAGTTGGAAAATTCCTGATTGGGTCGGTAAAAGGAGGAAGAATGCGATTTATATTGATTCACCATATCCTAGTCAGTAATCAGGGTGTAAGTGCATGCTACAAGTCGATCAAGCTTAAGCCACTGGTTTGACTGTTTTTGACACTTCGCATCAAATTCGCACTTTTCTACGAAACAATTAGAAGTGGTTTTCTATTAGGGGCCGCCCAAAGGTCAACCTTCTTTTGCTGACGCCGATGCTCGGTATTATAATACCGGAACCGCACGCTTGCCAAGTCGCCGCAAATCGGCACAAACGCAAACGTGCAGATACAGCGTTTGGAGTTTGCAACAAGCGTTTGTGACACATCCATACGTTTGTGCGCCTCAGTCTCGCTTATGCACTGGTGGCGAATGGGTGTAAGCTTTGCAACAATAATTTGGACGCAGTGGATAACAACAAAATGAGTGACTGGTTGAATGAACAGATTTTGAACATCCTGGAGCGGTACCAAGGAGAAACGTGCATTTGGGACACAGGACATCCGGATCACAAAGATAACAAAAAAAAGCTGGCGCATGGAGTCGCTTTAGCGCCTATTAAATTAAAAACACAAATGTTACTACTCATAATGTCAGCCCCTTAAATTTTGGATGTGATAGGTACTATTTTTGGAACTAAATATCAATTTCATTAAAACAAATACCATTTACCTGGTACGATTCATATGAATATTTAACATCCACCACCTTCCTTGGTCCTACTTTTCGTTTTTTTTTTTTTTTTGTTTTATAATAAAAATAGCTCAAGACACAAGTTCGACGTCCGTCATGTTTGCCTGTTGCCTTTTCACTGATGCACCCGCAAACGTGTGGACGGCCACGTTTGCTTCTTCAAAAAAAAGGCAAGCCTTTGTAGGGGTTTGGAGTTTGCGGCAAATGGCAAGCGTGCGGTTCCGGCATAAGAATAATGTGGAATAACTGCGAAAGTTTGTGCCCCTGACTCAACTTCTTTAGTTTAAGTTTAATCTAAAGTTTTTAAATTAAATAAAATTTAAAGCATTGGGATCTTAAAAATGTTAAAATATACAAAGTCAGTTAATTTACAGAAATATAATATTCAAGTATATCGGAAAGTGATTAGAAAATTTTTGAATTCAAGTATTTTCGGAATTTTCTCGGTATTCTTTCTGACGCTCACAATTCCTGTTAATACACCCCAAAAGTGTATGAAATAAATCGAATCGCACCTAAATCTTTTTATTTGATCAATATAGTGACAATGGTATGCCATCAGTAATTACCATATAACGTTCAACTGGGTTTTTGCTTTTAGTTAAAGATCTTCCAACATCAAACACAACATAGACAGCTACTTAGTTTATGAGTGTAGTTAAAGCAAGGTGCCCAACTATTTCCAATATCACGCATTTCTGCTTTAAGACAATACGTTCTCGTTTTTTAACCTACCAAAATTACAAATTAAACTGGCAATGTCCGTATACGTTAATTCCTTCGACTTATTTAATTTCATCGTGTTTTAACATTAACTAAATATTCACAACACAACCTAGTATTTCTGGCCTGCTGTATAAGAGAACAGCCAGTACAAACGGCTACTTGAATAACAGTTTTAAATAAAAGAAATGAATATACACCTATTTGTTGGTTTGTCACTTTGGTAAGCTATGTTGGCGACTAATACTACCGTGTGGGCATATAAATTGATTGCCTGGTTGCAGAAACACTTGGGCAATGGAATCAAATGCTGATGCTCAATTTTAATTAGTAATTTTTGGACAGAAGTAATTTATTAGATACCCAACTGTTTCTTTTTTGCATTACCTGCAAGTAATCTCTATGTTAGCAGAGTCGAATGTTCCGGATCAGGAATTTTCTAATAATCTCACATAATAATTATGCTCTGGAACAAGAGCATATAATTCCAAAACAACTTACCTAAGTGATCTTTTATGTGGGGGACTTTCATATGAATCGACCTTCCTCTTCTTTCCATCGCGGTCCTTCTCGTACGACTCATATCTCTTGTATTTGTCATCCCTCTCTCTAGATAGGGAGCGCGATCTAGATCGGGAACGGGAGTGATGCCTCTTCCTCGATTTTGGCATCTAAACAAAATAAAAGTATGCATTGGTGTGAAATAAGCACACACTGTCAATCAAAATTAATGGGGTACTTGCTGATTGATATTTAAGACAAATCGAATCTTGTCATGCAGGCAGAACTACTAGATAAGCATCACTGAGATTAATACTATTAAGAATAAAAACTTCAATAAATAACAGCAAACATCTTTAATTTATGTTCAAACACCTTTGTGTTGAAACAAATCATCTTTGGATTTCATTTATTTTGTCATAATCGCATCATTCTAGTAACAGGTTTCTTGAGCTCTCCGACACTCCAGCTCGTCATTGATTTTTATCGCTAACATGTATACATTGGTTGTGGGACAGAATTGGCCACGCTGGTTGATAGTTTATAATATACCTTTTGGTTGTTTCTGGATGAACAATAGTTTCTACTTGGTTTTGGATGAGTGTTTCTCATCACTGCCTTGATTGCATAAACAAACACTGGTCCAGTAAGCCATTATACCGCGGGAACGACTAGACAAACCATATTCTCTTAATATCAAGAACTCCACTGATGGTAAATGCTTTCGATACAATAAGTGAACCGTTTTCCTTTTTCTCATTACGAATAATTTAATTGAAAACAACTGTTTTGTGAGAATAATATACGCACATCAGTCCTACATCCAGGATCTCTTTGATCTGTAAGATTGCATAAAATGCACTATTTTTTTTTGCAAACAATATCAATGTGTTGGGTGAAACTAAACTGAGTCAAAGCTCATACCCAAAAGCTTCTTGTTTTCATCAATCATATAACCATTCAATGTGACAAGGTCATTGGGTAGATGTCTCTGGACTGAATAATTTCTTATTACCATTTTGGTGTCCTTTAAAATAAGTTTATTTCGCTGGCACTGAATTCATCTAAGACAATTTTTACTTTTTTTGAAGCATCTCAAGGCTGTACCCCCTAACTGATAATTATCGTGTCATCTGCGAACATGGTCACTCTCCATGGATATCAACATACAGCAGAACAATTAACTGTCCAAGGACAGAGCCCCGCGGTACACCTACACTCAGTTCTGATGTGTCTGATCTTGACTGCCCTATGATGACCTGAAATTTTCTTTGACTCATGTAAGACATTCATTGTAGTAGTATTCCTCGAATGCCTATTTTTCAAAAAATTTGCCAGGTATTCTTTTTGAATCATATCAACATCTTTGGTGTATTATCTGACTCTTGTATATGTATTTGATATTAGTTAATACTTGATTGCTGTCTTCTGACTTTGTTATAGCATGGTTTATGGGAATTACCACTATTGCTTATAACATATAGAACATCCAGACAGTCCCTACATTCCTTAATATTGTTCTCCATCTCCTCAGAATGATGTGGATTAGTTAGCTTATTTGTCTTTTTATTGTTTTCATGGAAAAGACTTGATCAAAAATAGACAAATATGCTGTTATAAAATAATTCCACTGTTTGTTCACATCATTCTGAGGGATTTGAAGAAATTTTCAGTATAACATTACCAAGCTTCTTCTTATTCCTACTTTATTAATAGGCTCATGCCTGTTTTACTTCGGTTTTTAGCCTCAATTGTCTGACCATCTTTTCCTTGGTCTTCTTCCATTTGGCGATTTGTCTCTTGCTATATTCGTACTGTTCTATTTTCGGTCATTCTTTCCTTGTGTTGATTCCATTCTATTTTTCTTCTTTTGGTCCACAGGTTTATTTCCTTTATACCACATCTCGCTCGTATTTCCTCACTTCTTACTCTGTCTATTAGAGTTTGGTTTGTTATTTTTCGTAAGACTTTCATTTCTGCTGTTTCCAAAAATCTTTGTGTTTTCGCCGTATCTGCTCTTGTTTCCGCTGTGTACGTCATTCTCGGCCTTATTGTTGATTTATATATCCTAGTTTTCGTTTCCGTTGTGAGGTATTTGTTTCTCCAGATTGTACTGTTGAGACATCCTGCTGCTCTGTTCGCCATGTTCACTTGTTTTTGTACTTCTTCCACTTTTTTCCATAGCTTGACAGTTTGATTCCCAAGTATTCCGTTTCCATCACTTATTCTATTATTTTGTTATTTACGACCAGTTTACATCGTCTCGGTTCCGCTGATATCACTATCAATTTAGTTTTCTTTATTGAAATCACCATGTTGTATATGAGCGCCGTATCTTCGAATTCTTTAATCTTTGTAGGTCATCTTCATTTTCGGCTATTATTATGGCGTCGTCGGCGTAGCATATTATCTGCATTTCCTTTTCTCCCATTCTATATCCTCTTCTTTTTTTAACTTTCTTTATGATTTCATCCATTATCAGATTAAATATTAGTGGGCTCAGCGAATCTCCTTGTCTAATGCCAGTTTCATACTTGATAGGTTGCGAGAGTTTTCCTTTACATCATACCATAGCTATCTTATCTTTATATATTATATTCTCAATAGATTTTACTAAATCCAGTGGTATTCCCCTGTCATATAATAAATGTATCGCGTCCCGAATTCTCACTCTATCAAACGCTTTCTTCAAATCCATCAGGCACATATATGCTGCTTTGTTGTATTCCAGCGACTTTTCTTTTATTTGTCTTATTACAAAAACTGAATCCGTGCATGATCTTCCTGTCCGGAATCCTTGCTGTTCCTCTTGCAGAGTTATTCGTTCGTTTATTTTTGTCGCTATTATTCTTGTTGTCAATTTGAGTGTTGTATTTAACAGATTTATTGCTCGATAATTATTGGGGTCTTTATTATCTCCTTTCTTGAAGAACATCAGCATGATCGCTCTCCTCCATTCATCTGGTATTCTGTTCGTGATGATTATGTTTTGAATAAGGAGTTGCAGTTGTTGTACAAGGTAATCCTCCATATTTTAAGAGTTCATTTGGTATTTGATCTTCTGGTGACTTTCTATTTTTTAATTTATTTATTCCTTGTTTCACATCTTTTTGGGAGATTTCGGACTTTTATATTTGGGGTTTTTGGTAAAGATTCTTCGTTTTCTTTTTTAAACATTTCTGTCAGGAAGACCACCCATGTATCCTCTTCTATGTGTTCTATTTCAACCAGTTCTTTCATTTCGCTTCTTTGTTGTCTTATGAAGTGCCACACTCGTTTCTGTTGTCCAACCCTAGTCCTTTAGTAAATCTTTCCCAGTAATCTGTTTTTGTTTTTCTTACCAATTGATTAGTTTCAGTTCTTATTCTTTTATATTCTTCATATGATTCATTGGTTTTATCCGACTTATATTTTAGGAAAGCTTTCTTTTTTTTGGTGACATTTTTGTTCAACCTCTAGTGTATACCATGGCGTTTTCGTTGACCACTTTTTGTTTTTGTTTATTATTTTCGTTCCAAGGGCAGTGTCCAGAATATGTTTCTTAAGTTTTCTCCAGCTAGTTTCTACATTGCTTTCATTTTCGATATTTTCTATTTTTATCTTCTGTTCTAGCCTTTTTTGATATAATGATTTTATGGGGTCATCTCTTCCATTTTCTATTTTTATTATTTCCTCTGAATTCGTTTGTTTAATCTTCTCTTCCCATTTTTCATTGAATCTAATTTTACCAAGTACCAAATAATGATCGCTTCCCACGTTGGGTGACGTCAAACCTCTACCAAGTTTGTGCATATTAACTTTCACTGTTAGTTTTTGAGCAGTGTGATCTAAAATGAGTGACATTAGACACATAAGCTGATATGTCGTGAAAATATTGTCAATACAACATCCACTGGTGGATGTTATGTGTGTTTATCATATGAATTTAAAAGTGAGCATAAGAGTTGTCTGTTCAGACTTTCCTGAGAAAAATCTATATTGAAATTACCAGCTATGAAAATTGTGGCACCTTCATCACAGATTTTCAAAACAATCTGTTCCAATTTTTTCTGAAAATGCATGCATATTACTTGATGGTGGTCTATATATTAGCAATTTTATAAAATTCACCCCATACAAAGAATATTTTACTGCAATACACTCTAGGGAGCCTTCCACTGAAATGATCTTATATCTGAGCTTTCTGAGCACTGAGCTCCTACCCTAGCACTGAACTCCTACTCTATTTTTTTTTTGTTTTTGACGGCGTCAACTTCTATGGTTATTAGCCGTATTCAATAATATAGTGTATAATTGCAAGTGTAAGTAAAAATATATAAACCTACAGTATAAAATATATAATCTCTTACATGTCTAAGTGGTAAATGTCGCATTTTTAAAAAACTAAATATGCAAATTCCAGGTATTAATCGAAAAGGATATACTATTGTCATTTATTTACAGATTCTATATTTTTTTTTTATTTTGTTTCAGCCGTATCGACGGATGTGGTCATTATCTCCATTTCACGATCTTGTTTACGTTCACGTAAGTATTACGATTTATAAAAATTCTATTGCTACATATTTCTTTTAGTTCCAGATGACAACACTAAGCTAAGGTAGGTATGATGCAAAATCATCGTTACATAAGATTCATTTAATCTCAGTTGAGAATAAGATACACAAAAATTAGAATGGTTCATTTCCAAAAAGTTCATTAGGTAAGATCTTCCAATAGAAACCAGATACTTTTAAGAATGACATGACGTTTTTCAGTTTTTCTGGTTGTGTGAGACTCTCTGTCAGGTTATCAAATGGTCTATAGATCACTCGGTATTGGGACAATATCGGACATGTGCAGATAATGTGGCGTACAGTGAGTGAAGAGTTACATCCAGTGCACAAGGGCGGATCTGTTCCAAGCAAAAGATGTGCATGTGAAAGACGTGTGTGGCCAAAGCGTAAGCGATGTATGCGCACCCATTCCTCTCGTGGCAGTCTGATAGGATGTGGCCATGATCCTACACTAGGTTTTATCTGTCTTAAGTGGGAATCAGTGTTACCCCATGTAATTTGCCAGTGTCGCTGTATACGGTTTATGAGGTAGTTTTATGATCAGACATTTTTATTTCAGGGACGTCGATGTTTTGTTGCGCTGCTGCTGCTTTTGCTGCTATATCAGCAGCTTCATTCCCCTGTATACCAACGTGTCCTGGCAACCACAGAAATTTTACGTTCACCCCTATTAGGGGTGCATTTGTAAATCACTTGGTTATGAAATACCATACTCAGGTAATGGAATGTAGAATGACAGATGAAATTTTACTCTGGAAAACTGTGAAACTTTACTTTTAGAACACCTAAATTATTACAGTCATGTAATGACACTTTTCTACAACTGTTGTATACAGGGTGTTCCTTAATGATATGCGAATATTTAAGGGTGTAAATCTACATGAAAAATTAATGTTAGTTTGCTTTATAAACTATGGTCCAAAAATGCTTCCTTACAAAAACTCGGAAGTGTTGAAGTTTTAGGAATAAAATGGAAGTTAATTAATATTTTCAGAACCGCTTCAGATATTTCACTGATATTTAGTAAGTAGTGAAAGTTAATAAAGTTGCATATTTTTCAATGCAAAAATAATTTTTAGCTTTAACAGTCGCGTGCGTACGGGTATTGACTTCGATATTTTTTAAGAAAAAAATGGTACACCAATGATTTTTTGCCAAATAAAAATTATTTTTGAATTCCCCGTTCAATTTAAAACAAATGATCTCTCTTGAATTGTTTTCCTTCGATGCGCCATTTTTGAGTAAAAAAAACGTTCTATTGTCTAACTTACAAAATTATTATTAATTGGAAAAATTAAACACATTAGGGGTAATGAACAACATCAACTGACAACATAAACATAACATTAAAACCAACGAAATGATTACAAAAATTGTTGAAAATGGCCCCCTTCACTTAGTATGCATGCCTCCGCCCTCCTCATGGAATTGTGCACTGGTTGAAATATCCCTGGACCTCTATTCTCGAGTTTGAGAGAGTTGAAATTGTGAAAGTGGCAAAAAGTGGGTGTTGCCAAGAAATGCAGTATTCTTGGAATCAATTTTACCGAAAAGTGATAGAAATGAATTCACTTTAGTTAAAATTAGTAGAAAATAGTGCTATATAACCTAAAAATTGTGAGTTTGGCATTATTGTCGTTCCTGTTAAACATATTGCAAAAAATTGATAATTTCGATCAATTCATGTAGAGGATGTAGAGAAGGCAGTTAAGGAATGGGAGATTGGGAGAGATTCTTGGGCACCGAGATCCTTTCATAATTTCGGATCGACAATTTGTACAGATGTTTAGGTTGACCAAAGATTTGGTGTATGAATTGCTGGAGATGTTGACTCCATTCATACAACCACCCAAACGAGCTTCTGCACTTTCAATCAAAACAAAGGCAAGAGTAAATATTAAGTCGTTCTAAAACAGCATCTTTTAATCTATGACTGAATTTTCCATGGTGCATTTGGGGGTGCTTTCGGAGAAATTCAATCATTTTGTCCTTTTGTTCATTTGTAATGTGCTTTTTTAAAGTTTTCGGCTACATAGATAAAATTATAAAGAGGAAATCTTGATTGGTTTAACACGTTTACTCAAACCTGGCAACCCTGCGTCTTGATTTCCTTTCTACTTTCTATTGAATCCTTTCAAGAATACAGTATTTTCGAATCGATAGAAAATCGGGGGAGTAGAAAAAGAGAGGGAGTGTGATGTTCTATTAAAGTCAAGAATAGGGACACTGGAGTGTTTTTTATTCTATCACAAGCTGCAACTATTCTTTATCTTAATTCCTCTACAGTGTTAATAGGACTTGTGTACACTAGTGTCTTAAGATAGCCCCACAAAAATAAATCTAAACTGTTAGGTCTGGGGACCTTGGTGGCCATTCTTGGGGCCCACCGCGGATAAACAGTTTGTAAATAATTGCGAACCGCTACACTGAAATGCGCTGGTGTACCATCATGCATGTACATGCATGATGGTGTACCACATATTGTTTCTTATTAAAAACGGAACATCATCAAGCAACAAAGGCAAGAAGAACGGGCCAATAAAGTGGTTGCCAATAAGTCCTGCCCATAAGTTAACCGAAAATTGGTGTTGGAAATGGGTTTCGGTTACGGCATAGGGATTTTCTTCTGTCCACAAATGATTATTGTGGAATTATTAATTCAAATTGCGGATTTTGTTTATTTTTTTGAAGATACCACTGACAAAAGGTCACACGCCTTGGAAAATCAATGGGAAGTAATGCCTGTACTCTTAAAATATGGTAAGGATATAACAAAAAATCCGCAAAAATTCTACAAACAATTTGATGGCAAATATTTAAGTGTCTAGCGATCTTCCTCGTACTCGTTGCACGATGTTCTTCGACTTCGTGCAGCACTGCTTCCTCAATTTCAGGTATTCTCACACTTAGAGGTCTACCTTCAGATGTTCCTTTTCAGACAGAACCAGTTTCAACAAGCCGACGATGAATATTAGAAAAGGCTCGACTATCTGGCAAAGCACGATCGGGATATATCTGGTGATAAATCCGTCTGGCTTGCTCACCATTACCGTCGGCAAGGCCATATACGTAATGCATTTCCACCATTTCTGCATTTGAATAATTTACCATTATTAACGAGGTTGTAAAAACTAAATAATGAAAAGATGTCACAGCGAACAGATTTGAATAACAGAGACTTGTCAGATGACAAGAGCCAGTGACATATTCCAGAGCAACTAGATATTTATTGCTAAATTGCATTCTTCAATTATTACATTAATTTTCTCGGACAATAGAATGGTTTTTATTTTACTCAAAAATGGCGTATCGAAGGAAAACAATTCAAGAGAGATCATCTGTTTTAAATTGAACAGGGAATTCAAAAATAATTGAAATGATTATTGTAGAAATTCTGAATGGTATTTCGAGAAAGATTAGCTTCGTCCGTAAGATACCACTGACAAAAGGTCTCACACCTTGGAAAATCAATGGGAAGTAATGCCTGTACTCTTAAAATATGGTAAAGATATAAGAAAAAATCCACTAAAATTCTCCAAACAATTTGATGGATTTCCAAGAGAGATCATTTGTTTTAATTAAACGGGCAATTCAAAAATAATTTGTGTTTGGCAAAAACCATTGGAGTACTATTTTTTTCTTAAAAAATATCGAAGTCAATACCCGTACGCACGCTACTGTTAAAGCTAAAAATTATTGCATTGAAAAATATGCAACTTTATTAACTTTCACTACATACTAAATATCAGTGAAATATCTGAAGCGGTTCTGAAAGTATTAATTAATTTCCATTTTTTTCCTAAAACTCCAACACTTTTTGTAAGGAAACATTTTTGGACCACAGTTTATAAAGCAAACTAACATTAGTTTTTCATGTAGAATTCACACCCTTAAATATTCGCATATCATTAAGGAACACCCTGTATATTAAACCTTATTTCAAGAGTATCCATCACGCTTTGAGGTGAACAGCTGATGACTCAAGTGACATCTGTGTTAATTTGTAATGCTAGCAATAATGAATTTTGGGACCGTATTCAGAACTGTTGTTCACATAATATCCGGATTATGTTTTTAGGTGGATGGGAAATGTGACAATAAAAGTACAAGTACAGATATAGAAAAGTTTATTAGAAAATTATTACAGTACATCTGGGATTTATTGATTACATGGTATGTCAATAGAACAGTTGTGTTTAGCACATAACTAATCACATCAAAGCTAATACATTCACCCAAAATTACGAAAACTACCCACCACCATGCCATATTATTGTAATGATGGCATAGCATCAATTTGCTGACTTGGTATATCCTTATGAATATATCAGTCCCTCGAAAAAATTATAAACTACGTTTGCGTTTCCTCTGGTTTTTGCAGAGTTCTCAACACTTGGCCCATGCCTGTATTCACGAACACTGCATTGTCCAAGTTGTGTAAATTTCATGACCCCCTGCAATAGTTACTCACATTGTTCCATTTTCTTACTCTTAGAATTACCTGAGTAATGTTCAGACCTAATTGAGGGGATCATAGCTTTATCAACTCAGTCATGTACTGCCACACATTCTGAACTAAATGTATGGCTGTTTTATCGCCCTTTAAGATCCTATGGTGTTTCAAGTTCTAAAAATTAGATATAATTAATATAGTCCAAAACTGTTTCTTATTTTATTCCTACCTGACTTGAAATGTAGTCATGGACATTAGCAGCCATTGTGCTTGTAGCGTATGTTTCGTATGCAAAGAATCTTTTTTAAATAAAAAAGTTATTAGCAAAAAATGAATCTGTAGCATACAAAGAGCCGCAACAAAATATGGGTCTGTCTACCTGGACTTCCTTCCCTCGGGATTAATTATATGTCTTGTGCCGATATGGGGAATTTTGAAATATTACTAGACAACTAGCTATCATTGTTCCGTGATGGATACGCGTGAAATAGGGTGTATAAGAATAGTGTTTCTGATACACCCATATGAGGTACACCATTTATCATGAAAAATATATATTCTGCCAATTTTTATGACCTTCTAAGCAAACAATGTATCATGAAAATGACAAGTGACAACACTCCTATCCCAAGGATTTCTTGCTTTTGAGGTACTAGAAAAAAAAGCATTGTTCTGTTTCCAAACACATGGAACAGCTACATTAAACAATTACATATTCTAAAATTGTTACAGAGCAGCCCAGCATAGGTAATATTTCTGTAACAAGTGATTAAGTGACATCCTTAATAATAACAATAATAGCAAATATTGGTGCTATTACACAGAAATGTGTTTGCACAAGTCAGCTAAAGTAAAATGTAAAAAAGTAAAAAGAAACAAAAAATATGTAAATAAGACAAACATGAAAGACTAATTGGCAAGAAAGGGTAAAGAGTTAAGAAATTAAAAGTTAAACTTAAGATTAATAATAAATAGAGTTGGTTAAAAAATTGTAAAAGAGACTAATTACAATAAAAATTCTGCCAGGATAGAAAAATTGAATTTAAGAAAGTCTTCAAGAATTAAAGACATGTGAGAAGTAACTAATTTATTAAGTATCAAATAAAATATATTTTACAATACAATGATAGTCATCTACAAAATAAAGAATGGAATGTATCCCAAACACATATTGGAAGGTTTGCAATTTGTCTGTGATATTCATAGTTACAATGTGGGGTCCGCTTTTGCGCAAAATAGTTTATTTCATAAAGGCCTTATAGATTTTAATAATTTACCAGCTGAAATCAAATCTACAAATTTTGTCAAATTCAAAAGACAATTAAGAATTTATGTAGAAAATAGTGTTAGTTTTAGATAAGAACATTATCGATATTGTATTGTATACTACTACTAAAAAAAGCATCAGATAGTAGGAAGCATTTTGCCAAATTGTTCAACATCCAGAGATTTCATTTGATTTGGCAATAGGTTGTAGAACTTTAACCCCTGATAGTTAACATCATTTCTAGTTTTGGAAAGGACAGAAATGTTCTTTGTTTCTGGTGTTGTAAATATGAGTATCTTGATGAGTTGTGCAATTGTGAGAGTGGGTTTGCATGAGGCAAGCATAGATGCATACACAAGGCAATGACATGATACTCAATTTAATGAATTCATTCCTATACCTCAAATTTGACATACAGTAATGGACAAAAGTATATAGACAAATTAATATTGTGCTGTATTTTCTTTTAACTTGTTTTATTAATATACCAACCTGTATACATAATTCATTATAGCATAATACTTTTACATAAATAAGTTCATTAGACTCCCTTCAATAAAAAAAATAATTGAAAAAACTGGAACTTTGAAGGACAAAAATATATAGACAAAGCAAAACAATTATAGAAAAAAGAAGCCAAGTTCATTGAATTATAGAAAACCAACCATGTTTGTGTTAATATTTTGTAGCATAACCATTATTATCAATCACCACCTGGCATCACCTCAGCATAGATTGTAGAAGTTTCTTGATATAAGATTCATCAATCTGTCTCCACTTTTGCTCTAAAGTGGCAAAAAGTTCATCCTTGTTTGAATAATGTTTATCTCATATCTAAGTATTCCCATAGATTTTCAATTGGGTTTATATCGGGAGACTGTGTGGCCATTTGAGGACTGGTATTTTTTCATCCAGAAAGAATCTCTTTGCGCAATTTGAAATCTGCTTCAGGTCATTATCTTGCTGGAAGATTGATCGTAAGGGCATATTGTCTTCCATATAGGGTAACATGACATGCTTTAGTATGTCTGTGTATACAAACTTAGCCATCATGCCATCTATTCTATGTAAATGTCACATCGCAAACACTGAAAAGCACCCCCAAACCATAACAGACCCGCATCCATGTTTAACAGTGGGCAAAGTGTACTTGGGGTTCAATCTTTGTCCACTAGGACATCTAACGTAATGAACACCATCTGATCCAAACATACTGAACTTGGATTCGTCACTGAAACATACCCTCTTCCAGTCAAAGATGCTCCAATCAAGATGCAACCATGCAAATTGTAATCGGTCCTTACGGTTTTTCCTCCAGATTAGCGGCTTCTTACTCGGGCGACGTGCAAATAACTTCAAATCATTTAATCTTCTAGTTATAGTTTTCGTAGAAACACTGACAATTCCTTTTGTCTCGATTTCAGTTTTTATTTGTCTTTGGGTTTTAAACAGATCTTTGGACGAAATTACTTTTATTAATCTAACTGATCTAGCATTTAGTTTTCTAGGCCTACCACACTTCTCTCATAAAAAAGTGCTTATATTCAGACTTGTATTGTGTTCATTGCAGATAATGTAAAAACAAGGAATTTAGTTTTTCTACTGATAACCCATTTGTTGTTATGGAGCAATGAAGTATTCGTTTTCTAAAGGTATTTAGGTAAATATTCATATTTGTCTATATACTTTTGTCCATTACTGTATATCGCTAAGCAACAGAAAACCTGTGAACCGAAGTTCGAATATTATTGCAACCTTTAATACTTCCATCGTTTAAGTAGTCGTAGATTTTGAAAATAGATTCAGAAGCAGCAGAAATAAAATCGTAGGAACATGTTAGAACGTTTCAGAGATTACTTCTCATCTTCAGAAATTGGAGGGGATGAAATTATCATGCTCATCAAAACTCAAAGAAGAATCAACATACAACCTGACAAACTTTACTGTTCGTGTGTTATCATTTGTGTCAAAATTCCATAGAGAAATACTTACTCACTGTCCAAGTTTTGTTTTCATTTAATGTCAGCCTGTTAATAACAAACCAGTTTTGAATGTTCCCCATGCCCCATTGTCTAGGTTTTCTAAGGTGCTGTGAGTTGAAAGAAATGCAGTGTCATCAGCATACAGGAATAGTTTGCTACTAGTACTATTACTGAGACAATTTTGTATGTCATTGATGTATACCAAGAATAACAATGGCCCAAATACAGATCATCAAGAGCCCCATGCACAATTGTGGTGATAATAGATCTGCAATTTTTTTGTTCCACAAATTGCTGTCTTACAGACAACAATTGCTTGCCCAACTGTCCTATCAATTCAAGAATGTCTTCTGGGGGAACTGTTGTCTTCTACAACCAGTGTAAGGGAAACTCTACTATATTACAGCACCACTTTTTTCGATAGTTTGTGGTAGCTGACAATCCAGCCTCGACTGACCTCTGAGGATATATAAGAAGCTCAATAGGGACTAACTGGTGTGATCTTGACTGATCACTCTTCCTCCTAGACTGGATACAAAATATGATTTGCCGTTTCATCTGATTTCCCAAAATTAGCACAAAGAGGGTTCCTCCATGAAGATGTGCCTTATAAAACTACTGTTATTTGGTGTAGTATATTACATAATCATAAGGTGTAAAATAAAAGTGTTCTGTTTATTCTTAGCATTTCATTACTCAAATCCAGAGTTCTATTTCTGTTTTTTCCCGCCATAATCAAATTCAAAAATGGCATCAAGTCTTTTTAAGTAATCATAGAAAAATTATATTTTCCTAATTTATAACAATTATTTATTTGTGACATTGTCAGTTTAGTTGAAACAATGTCAGACAAAATTAAGGTAGGTACTATTTAAATTCAGTAGTAGTAGTAAGTGGTCCAGATAACCTGAACAGGACATTCAGATTACATTATCTTATAATATACATATTGTTCTGCTTATTTTTATTGGGAATAGGGTAAATATATGTGGTTTGTAGATGCTGTCTGTATTCAAGATTTGGCGTAGAATCTTTATTTCCAGAGCTGTTTCGCCAAATGTGATTTCTGTATAGTGTTGGTGCTAAATAGTTTTGACAAGTATTTGTATAACGTTTAATAAACGATTCAGCCTCTGGTTACAGTATAAAAATTCTACAGGTGCTATAATAATTTTATACTGCATGATCCAAAAGCAAAGGCGCCAAGCGCCATTTTCTTTGTTTGACGCGCCATTCACGCAAGACGAGGTTTGCAATATTCCTAGATTTATGCATTGGCCTGCTGAAGTTGTAGGTAAACTGAGTTTTATGCATACTTACATTGGCTCCTTTAATGTTGTTGATTTTTCTCCAAACTAAACTGGCTAAATTCAAAACACAATTCCAAGTCCTCTCAGTAGAACCTTGCAATAATCCAGTAGCTACAGACAACCCGAACATCGATCCGATCCAGTCTATTGGTCGGATATGGAAGTCGTTGACACGATATTAAAATTTAAAAACATGAAAGAAAATTGTAAATTTACTTGTAAGTGTATAACGCCAATATACCGCTTGACTGTGGGAAACAAATCGCCACATTCACGAATGATCCTATTACTATTTTATTAGAAAAACTTGACCGTTTTCAATTCTAAAGTTCCAAAAGAGTCTACAAATTACCGACAGAGAAGCGTGACAAAAAGTGACACTAGTGACAGCTGACAGTGACAAGCAGTTCAGGACTCGTGATTGGTGGATTGGACGAGGCTCAGAAATCGTTTATGGTGGATATGTCGTCAAGTAGATTGACTCAGCACTTTTCCATACAAATTTTGATAATGGACACGTTATTACAGATTCTTACAAAATTGCATGTTATCAAACATAACATACATCCTTATTCAAATCAATACTGGGTCTCCCAATATTACATGGACATAGAAGTACCTCGTATTTTAAGACTCAAAATAAGTCGATTGGACATGATTTACTTCTTTACAAAAGTGCGTCGTTCTTCCGCTAGAGGACGTCAAAGTTTACTTATTAAACAATTATTTCAGATATTCTTGGAACTTGGAACCGATAGTACAACTTGAATGAAATATGGAACACATGTGTTTTGCTACACGTCCTAATATGTATTTGAATTTTACATAAATAACTCGAAAGATTACGATACGATACTGTTTTTTTTTTATCTAAAAGATACTATCATTTTTTATTTCTTATAAAAACAGTCCATCCCGCATAGTTTTTGAGATATAAGATTTTCGGTGCAGGTTTCTAAAAAAAATTTTTTTTACATATGTTTTTGCGTTGTAACGTTATTTGCAGGAACGAAAATGGTGGTCATATTGAACACCTGTTATGAAAGATTCGCACTAGTGTTAACTTAGCACAACCACAACCTGTTGTACACTTGTTTTGTAGCTGTACTTATCATAGCGAGCACAACTGGAATGAACTATTTGCACAGTAAAAACTACCTAGTCTGCAAGATGACATTTCGCCGTTTTTTTTTTGTTTTACATAATACGGGATAAATTTTGATATTTCTGCAAGAAATGAGACAATAATACGAGTATTATGGAAACTTGGCCCGACGGGTCCATAGGTGACCCCTTTACTGCTTTGAGTGGGGTTGACGCCAAGTGTACGTTTTTTTTCGGTAATAGATGAAGAATTGGGTACAAAAGAGTTATATCTCTGTTCCTTGTATTGTAATTGCCTGGGATTCTTATAAAGTACCCAATATTTTTAAATGTAAAAATCAATATTTCCTGAATATATATTGCCACTATGGCGAGTATTTTATTCCCTTTAAATTTTCCTCTACATGTTTCTCTACACGGAATTTTTAACATGCATCTCAATGCTCGTTTCTGTACCCGAAAGAGCCTGTTTATCTGGCTACTGTGTCCGTAAAAAATTATACCAAAACGTGCAATGAACTCAAACTTGGCATGGTAAACAATTGTTAGGGTCTTAAGGTCTAGGTACTTACTTAATATCCTAATACTATAACAAGTGATGTTTAACCGTTTTTCTAGATTTTCTACATGTGTAGCCCAGGAAAGTCCTTGCTGACTATATTTCCGATAAATGGCTAGGTGTAATAGTAGACAACCTACACTCATCAAAATTCTTTTCTGGAAGTGTTTGGGTCTTAATGATATTCCCAAAAAACGGGAATTTCATCAAGGTCTTCTGGTGAACGTATCGATGTGGCTCTGTTGCCGAAAACATTGCTTAATCCGGGAGATCGTCTAGCTTTCCCGAATTATGTTATCCGAGCTGATAGATTAACAGGACGAAGTGATGGCTTGGCAGTGCGAGTGAAACATAGTATCGACTACCATAGAAGCACAGATGCAGAGCATTCAGGCAGCTTCCATGGTGGTTAATATAATGGAAGTTGTCCCATTGAAGATCACATGGGTGTATGTCAGGTGTGGTGCCAGACTACAGGAGACGGACCTGAAAGTCCTTATTGACTACTCGGTCCTCTTACTGGGGAGACTTCAACTGCAAACACCGATCATGGCATTCTAGGTTGGATTCCACCAGAGGGGTCCGACTGTACAACCATGTGATACGAAACGGCTACCTCATCTTCGGAAGATTCTTCAACTGAAGACTTCCACAGCACATTTTCCGAGATCCCATATTGGTACACACCAGCAGAGCTTCAAGGTCATATTAAAGCCCTTAAGGTGGGTGAAGCACTGGGGGGATCAAATCACTAATAAGACGATGACGCTATTTTCGCGGAAGTCCTTGACGTATCTCGTGGCAATAATCAATGCAATGCTAAGGAGCCAGTTCTTCCCATCGGAAGGGAACACTGCAGAAGTTATAATGATTCCAAAGAAGGTGGATTCGATATTTCCTCAGGATTATCGGCCCATTAGCCTGGAGTCTGTTCCATCTAAGCTCACTGAAAAGATGATTCACCATGTGATTCCTGACGTGCAATTTAGCTTTCGGTCTGAGCATAGTACGGAGTCACAGGCGGTTAGGCTTGTGGTGTGAGTGACTAGGGGCTTCACCCTCAACGAAAGTACTGGCATCCTGCTTCTGAATGTCTCGAAAGGATTTGACAAGGTGTGGCACAAGGGAATTTTCTATAAGCAAATAAAAAAGGGCTTTCCATTTTAACTCATAAAGCTTTTGAAGTCCTTTCTTGAAGGTAGGAAATTTCGGGTGAAAATTAATAATGTCTTGTTGATTGTACGTCCCATCAGAGGCGGTGTGACATTGCTTACTTGATTATGTCAAGTTTCATGCGCAGTGACGTTACAGTCAAGCGGAATCGCCCGCAACCATCTGTTGCGTGACTCGGTGGACAACACAGTGGAGCAAGTTCGAAAAACATTCAAGGCCGCGGCTCACACTGTGATAAAAAATTAGCGCGAACTCTTAGTAAACCTAAAATTACACTTTAACGAAACCTGTATCATAATTTGTTTCTGATTCACCTCAAAATTAATCCGTGTACAAGTCAAAAAGCCTAGATGTTTCCTCTTAAACTGATACACTTCTGTTTTTATTTGCTCTTCTCTTTTTTTCTTGTCTTTCTCTCTCTCTCCTGGACTGACAGATTCGACTAACGTACATTAGACAGTGACTACGGACAACCCAGACAAACAAATGACCAAGTACCAATATACAATATCGATCGAAATATTTAGAACAAAAATAAATATTTTAGTTTTTGGAAATACCTACCGACCCTTTATTTCATTTACTGGTGACATTATGCAAGGATTATTCCAAATGGCGAATCATTGAAAATCACGAAAACTCCCCATCCCATTTACGCACATTTGAAATATTTTGGGAGCTAAATAGTCGTAAATACCAAAATAATCTTAGTATACTTACTACTATTAGACTCATATCATATTTTTGTTAGTGCCTTTTCTGTGTTTCTTTGGCGCAAGAACATCTAATGATGAGGATAAGGGTTACACCTCCAAGAAACTTTCAAGATATCAAGTAAGACTCACTGTGGTTTAAAAATGTTTCTAATATGTAGAATATCTTGTATATAAACAGAAACTAATTGAAGGGCCCGGTGCAAAAACCGGCCAAAGACCAATTTTGTCAAAATTGAGATTATGACTTTTTTTGCTTTGAAAAATGTATCCGCGTCGTTTGGAGCAAGAACAGTACACGGATTGTGTATAAAACTGCACTTAAATCGACGTGGTCGCTTTTTGCACCAAATATATCCCTGACGTAGTTCTCACCATCAATATTATTGGGCGCAATAAGCGGCCACAAGACACACATAGCCGGTTTTTGCGCCCAAACTTGAGCAAGGTCTAACCTTACTTTTCTGACGTTTGTGGAGTGCACATCGCCTTGTGAAAATGGACAGCTCAAGTGAGTTTTCCAGTGAAACTAATCCATACCATGACTCCGATAATTAGGATATGGACCCAGATAATGTATTGGAAAGTGAGAGTGGCAACAAAAATGGCAGAAAGTGTTTTATTAAATCATTAAGTAATGCCTATTCTGTTACTGACCAACATGCTTTGAACGACGATAAGGAACAAGGTAATTTGATCAACTTTAAAAAATGATAAAAATAACAATGATGTAAATAATTCCTTGTAGATGAAGAAATAAATAAAGCTAGTACGTCAGGTATAAATCAGACACCTATCTCGAAGCATGTTACTGCAGGCGACAACTCGAGCAGCTCAACTGAGGAAGGTAAGTGATGTAGTATTGTTCACTAGCTTTGTAATGCATATATTTCTTTTAATGCAGATGAACCTGCAGAAAAGCCTCTAATAAAAGAGGGTAAAAAACGTCAGCGCACTCCTCAAGCATGGAAAAGAAATATAAGAAAGTTGGAAAGGAATTCTGGCAAAGAATATAAAAGTAGTGGAGGTAAAACTATTGAAGCAAAACAGCAGGGATTCAGATGTGATTGTCGTAAGAAGTGTTTCGAAAAATTCACGGAAATGGAAAAAGATGCAATATTTACAGAGTTTTATGCAATGGCAGATAAGAACATTCAGGATAGTTACTTAGCAGCGCTCATAGATGTAAAAAAAGTCTCCAGAAGGAGGAAAACTAGCGTGGGTGAAAAAAAAAGATATTCTTATGGTTATAGTATTCAAATCTCTTCAAAAACTGAAAAAGTGTGCTGCACAGCATTTTGTAACTTGCATGCGATTCACAGATCACGAGTAACAAGAATTTCACAGTCAAGAGTTTCTGGTCTGCTGCTTCAAAAGGATTCCCGTGGTAAGCACCATAACCGACCAAACAAATTACCGGAAAATGTTGTAGCACAGATTGAGGACCATATAAACAGTTTTCCAGCACGTGAATCACACTATTCACGAAATGAAAATAAAAAGAAGTACCTATCAGCAGAGTTGAATGTCCGCAAAATGCATGAACTTTATTTGCAAAAATACGAACCTGAACAGTACAGCCTGATAGAAAGCCATGAAAACGCGAAACCTAAAGTAACTACTATTATAGGTATTTTACAGAACATTTTAATTTGTCATTCGGATATCCGCGTTCGGACACTTGTGCTACTTGTGACCTACTGAAAATACAACTTAATGCCGCTTCTACGGATGAACTTAAGCAGCAACTAAAAGTTCAAAAAGATGTTCATCTTCGGAAAGCTCAAGCTTTCTACGACGATTTGAAAGAAAAAACTGAAATGGCACGAACTAACGAAACTGTGGAGACTATTTGCTTCGATTACCAGCAAAATTTGCTTGTTCCGGTGTTGACTACAGGGGACATATTTTATGCTAGGCAGATTTGGGTATATAATCAGCTTTTCTACTCTTGTTCCAATAACAAATCGGTTAGTTATATGTTTGACGAAACTGTAGCGAAGAAAGGCTCTATAGAATCAGTATCCTTTTTGTGGCATTTCATTAACAAATATATAAGCAGGTCAGTTACCGTTTTGCATATCTTTACAGACAACTGTGGGGGGCAAAATAAAAATGGGGCAATGGTCCACTTTCTGTCAACTTTAGTCAACAACGGAAGATTTTCTAAAATAGTGCATCATTTGCCAGAGCCAGGTCATAGCTTTTTGCCATGTGACCGAGATTTTGCACAAATTGAAAAAAAGAAACGTAAAAAAGAACTTTTGTATTTGCCTGAAGAATGGTATTCGTTAGTAGAAAACTGTGGTAAGAAGTTTACCGTTGAAAGAGTAACACACTATATGGTGTTTGATTTTAAAACATATCTCGAGCCTTTTTTTAAAAAAACTTCTGTGGTTAAAAAACAACCATTTACATTATCGAAATATACAGGGTGACTTTGAAGTTGAGTCATTAATTTTCAGATAATGATTGTAGAAGGAAGATAAACCAGAATATGTGTGTAAAAATAAAAAAAATTAAAAAAAAATTTACCTTGTTTTATAAAGTATCCTCCCGACAAGTATTTCAGTGCGGACCTGTATTTGATCGTGAGGTCCCCTGTGAGGTCTTAAGTCACCTGATTCACGAGCCCGTTGTACTACATTAACAAAGGCACGAGGGGTTGGTTGCACTCGATTGGGAAACCGATCCGCATAAACATGTGCCATTTTTTATTTCGTTTGAGCCACGCAACAGAAACTATTCACACGCTAACCGACAGATACTGACTGTATGTATAACTGAACTGAATAAAATACTTAATTGCAAAAACGTCGTTCCAAATTCTTTCGCTTTTTTGTTTCCGATGCGATGAACCGGTAAGGCGGATTATATCCGTTGTTGCCAAACACGAGTACATGATATTATTATTGAGACAGGGCGGTACTCAAACTTCCAAAGGGCTATAACTTTGTTACTTTAATTTTACCAGAAAAATGGTAAAGGAAAAAAACATTTCTTTTGATCAGATCTACTCACTGTTAAAATAAATGACTCAACTTCGAAGTCACCCTGTAGATTCTTTATATATGATTCTACATTCCGAGAATATTTCAGTATCTCAAACACATAATCCTGCCATTACAATCTCATATCCCTTAAATAAATGCGCAGGTACCCCTATTGACCTAAACAGAGCTCCTCTAGCATATAACAAGAAGCTACCACTGAAAGCAGCTAAATACGATAGCATTATGCCATTAGTGAGAAAATATGTGCCCCCCATTTGACAAACATTTTATGATACGATCGAAAGGACAGATGGGGATTCTGATTAGAGCTTATTCAGACTGTACTATTTCGTTTGATTATTTCTTTGGGTTACCTACTAAAGTGATGTATGCACTTTTTTTATTGATTAGTTCGATATACCTTATTCAGACTGTTCTGTTTCGTTTGATTGTCGTTTAAATTATTTATTTACGTTACTTGAGTGTTAGTATGCACTTTGTTTATTGATTAGTTCTACTATATTATACCCAATAAAGAAGTTTATTTTTGAAAAATAATAGCATTTCTTCTTTTTTTATAAGAATTCCTCCCATTTTGGTGACAATAACCGTCCACGTGGAAGGTTCAATTTCAAATTTAAAAAAATCTAAAGTAAATATTGGTGCATATATTGATGGAAAAGATGAGTTTTTGGCCAAAATACGGCTGCAAAATAACAAATTTCGCAACACTTTAACTATGAGTGAATAACGAGTTTTTCTCATTTTTCTCAAAACTAAGAAATGTGCACGTGGTCGGTTATTGCACCGGGCCCTTCAATTAAAGAAAAGATTTCCTTATAGTGTATATTATATTAACAAGCTCATTTTTGTAGTCGTAGATGTAACATACATAAATAGGGTACAGGTAAATATAAAGGGTGTCCCAAAATTAACGCAAGATTTGAATTTGCCGCCATTTGTGCAGTGAAGTGTTGGCAACCCTGAAAAAAAGCAATTTGACAGCTAACAGTATAGGGTTATGAAAAATGGAGCGTTACACGATAGAACAACGTGTCTTCATTATTAAAGAATATTTCAAAAATAGTGAAAGCTTGGCGGCTGCAGTTCGAAAATTTCATACAAAATATGGCCGGAATAGTGTTTTAACTTCGTCAACTGTGAAGAGATTAATTGAAAAATTCATGGAGACTGGATCCGTTGGAGACGCCAAACACACTGGTCGTCCAAAAACAAGCCGTTCAAATGTGAATATCGAAGCAGTGCGTGAGAGTGTTGCGGACAATCCAGGAACCTCAATTCGACGTCGTGGACAAGAATTGCAAATGTCAAGAACCTCTCTACAGCGTATACTCACCAAAGATCTGTGTCTTCATGCTTACAAACTCCAATTAACACAACAATTGAAGCTTAATGACCATGCAGAGAGAAGAGAGTTTGTTGAATGGATTATTGAACATCAACAAATGGACCCTGATTTTTCAAGCAAAATCATCCTAAGCGATGAAGCACATTTTCATCTTGATGGCTTTGTCAATCGCCAAAATTGCCGCATTTGGGGTTCGAAGAACCCACGTGTGATTGTCGAAAAAGAAATGCACCCACAACGCGTGACTGTCTGGTGTGGATTTTGGGCTGGAGGCATAATTGGGCCATATTTTTTTGAAAATGATACTGGTCAAGCAGTGACTGTTACTGGTGCTCGATATCGCGACATGATTACACAGTTCTTTCTGCCAAAATTGAATGATATTGATGTACCCAATATGTGGTTTCAACAAGACGGTACCACATGTCATACAGCCCGTGAAACAATTCAATTACTGCATGAGACATTTCCCGGTCGTGTACTCTCTCGTTTCGGTGATCAAAATTGGCCTCCTAGATCGTGTGATTTAACACCATTAGACTTCTTTTTATGGGGTTATTTGAAATCACAAGTCTATGTCAACAAGCCCACAACCACCCGTGCATTAAAGGAGGAGATTCAACGCTGCATCAACGAAATTCAGCCACATTTATGCAGAAGGGTCATGGAAAATTTCGACAAAAGAGTGCGCATGTGCATGCAAAGCCGTGGAGGCCATTTGTCCGATGTGTTATTCCATACATAACCCTATCCTATGTACTTTATGAGTCAATAAAAATATAACTATTAAAAGACTAGAAATGGCATTTTCTATTTAATTCAAATCTTGCGTTAATTTTGGGACACCCTTTACAACCATCATTCCATCCCACAAATCTGGTATATCTCATAGTAACGTGGGGGTACCCCAGGGTATTATGATGGGTCCCATTTTATTCATAATACAAAAAAATGACTTAAGCAGTACAATATTAGGCCATACAAATTTGAATAACACCTAATTTGCATACGACACCAATTTATTAGTTAAAATCTTCAGGAACATATGCATACTGTCGTAACCATTTAAATATTAATAATAACCTTTTTTGTTTCAGGTGCTGGTGGATCTCAAAGTGATGGATGTATATTCACAGCTCTCTAGTTTAAGGAAAATGTCCATAGCGGGTCGCGAACCACAGGTCCCGTCATCAAGAGCACCATGTACCTTCTTTCCCCGCTAGGTGTCACCAGTAATTTTTAAAGCTTTCCCTCGGTTTTTTATCAGCTCTTTGACTCCTATTATCTGCGTTGTTCTCCGTGTCGTCATTCTTTTTCCGTACTTAGAAGTCACCACGTTGAAAATTTCAAAATCAGGCATTTTGAATCCAATTATTGGAAAAAGAAAGAGGACATCTAGTTTATCTACACCCGAATTGTATACATGATGAAAGGGAGTACATGAAGCAACAACTTAGAAACGCCATGGTGATTCAAGCAGATCTAGATCATGGAAAAGCACATCAATGGCATCGAATCCGGCAAATGAGGTATCAATCCCAAAAACAAGCCTGGAACCTTGACTGGGGAAATTCGGAGTCTACTTGGTGAAGGTCCAACTGAAACCCTAGGGAAAGGGCCAACATTACAAAGTAATCCCAATGTAAGTCTTTAAAAGAAGGCAGTGATTAGAGAAAGTTATATAACAAATCCCTTTTTTTTTCGGATTTTGCCCATTATTTCTTCTATTAGATATACATATATACACTGAAAACCAAATTTGACAGACGGCTTGAGTTCAATGTGTAAAGAGGTAAGTGTGTACAGACACATGTTGAAGAGAGATAGAAGCCGGCTGGATAGCGAAGCTCATCACCGCGTTACCTAGGAACGCTGACGCGCCAATCCTTCAATTAAGATGCATGCTGAAAATATGCGTTAGCTTATTTTCTACACCCAAAGAACAATTTTATTTTGAGCGCACACATTTTTGAATTGTGAATTGTGTCGAATCTGTTTAGGGTCGATTCGGCGCTTCATTTTAGGTCGAAATGAAAGGTCAGGATCGCCACAAATTCTGCAACATTGAATGATTAGTTCCGCCTCCAACACCGCATCTTGTACATTCCAAGGCAAGGTTTCCATCTCCTTTATCATAGTTGAGCGATTTTGGTCAGTACCCATCTAGTGCTCATAGGGGAGTGTCGTCCTGCTTCGAAACACTGCGTAACTCAGGATGTGTTAATTCTATCCCAATCGGTGGAAATCAAAGATAATTCTAAAATAAATTAAAACACTAAGTCGCATCAAAATTGAAATAAACAATTCTAACCAAAATGAAAAAAAAATTACATCAAATGTTCGAACAGACCTTCTTCTTAGGTTTGACAGTGACATAACCCATTGTAGAAGCCCGTGCTAACATCTTCTGGTGTAACATATATTGGCAATGCGGCAGATTGCATGACCTTCTGCGTCACCGTTGCTAGGCACAGACTGAACTCGAGCCGTGAGACAAATTTGGTTGTAACTGTATATTATTACTACGTCAGCATAGCTCGAGGCTACCCACAGGGCGGAGTTCTGTGACCCTTACTGTGGTGCCTCGTCCTAGGCTTGTGAATCCCTCATTTTGGAGGGGGATGAGCCTAGGAGAAGAATAACAATCTTCTCCGACAGCCAGGCTGCAATGAAGTCTCTAAGTGCCTGTAAGATTCCTTGAGCCTTGTATTACAATGTAGGGAGGTTCTGGATCGTCTAGCAGCGTGGCATCCGGTATCGTTAGTGTGGGTACTGGGGCAGGCTGGGATAAAAGGTAATGAGACGGCGGACGCTCTGGCGAAGACAGGATCATCCAACAAGCTCGTTGGTCCTGAGCCAGCGTTAGGGGTGCCCGCGATAAGAGTTAGGAGGAAAATGTAGAAGTGGATTGCAAGACAACACTCTCAGAAAGGTCAGGTACGGGAACTCATTGTAGGGCCCAGCGCTATGGATGGACGTTTTTGCTTATCTTTGAATAGAGCCAACCTAAGGTTGCTAGTGGGACTGTTGTCTGGTCATAACACATTAAGGTTAAGGCGCCGCCTACACGTGATGGGGGTGGCTGAGGATCCCTTGTGTGAGAGCTGCGGGGTAGAGGAAGAGACCTCGGAGCACGTTCTGTGCCGCTGTGAGGCTCTTAGCTACTACAGGCAGACTATATGGGGCTCCATCACTTTGGACCCCCAGGACGTTAAGGAGCTTGGACTCAAGGACATACTCAACTTCACTAGAATGGCGAGGCTTGAGGTCTAAGAAATGTAGAGGTGCACAAGGACCCGTCTGAGTGGCCTATGCGCTGTCTCCTTATGGTGGCCAGTATGCCTCTAATATCATGTTTCATTCATTCATTCATTAATCGATAGCTTAACCTCCAACATTTTTACTCAAATATATGCCAAATGCGCGAACCGATTATTAGGTGAAAATTATATACTCAAGACCACAATATATATCTATTTTGAAATATCAGATATCCCAGAGTCGAGGAGGCTCGTCGGTCGATATATACTCAAGACATCGATCATGTATGTGTATTATTTCCTTTTTTCTCTGCGTCAAAAGTAAACGTAAGTCTGAGTTTATTGATGCAAGTTGTTCAAAGGGGTATTTAAAACATAGACGCATAAAATGGTGTTTACGCCTCAAAACTTTTTTCTATGTATATGTTACCGCTAATATCCAAAATCCGCTAATATGCATAATAATTAGACATACTAGGAATTATGCGTAAATACTAAAACTGTCGGTTAGTATGCAAAATAACGGCGCGTATCAGGAATTATCGATAACTACTAAAATCGTCAGTAATTATGCAAAGTATCGCCATATTTTTAGTAAATATTGATCATAACTGACACAGCAATAGGAATTATGCATAATATCTGCTGTGTATATTAGTGATTATACATGTAACCTCACAAAATACGACTGGTCGTGCCTTGAAGCGTGCGTTGAAGTTTGAGGTTATTTTTTGATTGTTTTGTTGTTGAGGTTTCTCATCGCAATGACTGCACTACCTATTGATAACATTAAATTTAAATTTGTCGATGAAGTTAAGAAGTTGAAGGGAAAAACAAACTCACGATTGAACATTTTATTCAAGGAAGAATATGACGTGCTTTTATCCGAGGTAAGAATAATTTTAAACTAATATAGTGCCTATATTTTAAC